TCTCTGTCTGTCGCTGCTGACTTGACTGTCACTATGACTGGTCAGAGGAACGGATGTACAAGCAGGAACATGGCATGCCCAAGTCGGTTCTGCTGAGCGTCATCGCCGTGGGCCATCTTCGCATCTCGGTGGCGGTCGTGCATTTGAAGGCCGGGACAGGGGTACGCGCGCAAGAGAAATGTCATCGGCCGATGTGGTTACCTGCCCCCCCCCCCACCATACTCTCGGCTCACACTGAGTTCTCTGCGTGCAGTTTGCTCCGGTACGGAAGAGCCAGATAGAGCAGACCATAGACATGCAGGAGGCGCACCAGGCCGACGCCTATCTGTTTCTGGGCGACTTCAACATGCGCGACGTCGAGAAGGAGAACAACGAGCGGCTCGACGCGAACTACGTCGATCTGTGGCAGGCGGTGCACGGACCTATCGAGCCCGGCCACAGCGACGGCTTCACCTTCGATCTCGCTCGCAACCCAACCGCGCGCCAGATCTCGGAGCGAGTGACCGCCATCAAGCGCACCACGGGTAATTGCCGCACGACACACGACACACACGACACACACGACACACACGACACACACACGACTTTCTCTGCCCTCACCTCGGAGCGGTTTGTGAAATGCAGGGTACAGCAGCCGCTTCGACCGGATCTACTTTCGATCTTCCGCGCCGGTGACTGCTGCGTATAGGCCGCCGGAGATGAACAGCGCGGGCTGGGAAGTAACGGACATGAAGATGATCGGGACTGAGCCCATCTTCTCAACCCCTGACGGCCAGTCGGTGTTTCCCTCCGACCACTTTGGCTTGGCGACTACTCTACGACACAACTCGACAAGTTGATTAATCGTGCAAGCATGTTTTTCTAATTTTTATTGTTTTTGGATTTTCTTGAATTGTGATCTCTTGCTCATCGCATGCACATGTCTAGTACTCGCGAGGGGGCTGCTGGGTGGGGAGGATGCCGAATCGCTTCTTGAGGGTCACACGCTGGCGGGAGAACTTGTCGTCGGGCGAGAAGCGGGCTGCGGAGTAAAGTGGTGAGACATGCAGCAATCGAATTGGGTTAATGAACAAATTGAGCAAGCCGGAGACTGTGGCGAAGGCGCGGCATAAGAAGGCTCGAGGATGCGGAGCGGGGGAGAAAGGGCAAGCAAGAGAATCATACCAGGGTGAGCGGAGACAGTGGCGGTGCCCTCGGGGTTAGACTTCTTGAGGGTGTAGACGCGCTTACCGTCCTTGTCGAGGTAGTACATAAGATGCATGGCTGCTTGCTCTTTTGGGGGATCAC